GGTTTTTTTTTTTTTTTTTTTTTTTATAACAAAAACAGGTCCTTATGGGCCTGGCTCCTTTTCCATTCTGGCAGTCTGGTTCCTATTCCCCCGGCAAGTCAAAATAAAATATTACATCATGAAACACGCTCATGCTTCCTTCCATATGGCTGAAGGACCCCTGACCAGCATTGATTGCTCCCTTGAGGGAGGATTGACTGTCAGCTTGCCCTAACAACTTGCTCCTCTCAGGTTCCCTTCTTGGGCCTGTCTGCGAGGCCAGTGCCTCTATGAGCCCCATCAGGGCCCATTTCGCAGCCCGTCGGCCGCCCTAAGTGAAGGCAGGCTCGACGACGCCCTCAGGGCCCCTTTTTCCTGGCCACCACGCAACTCCAGGAAATTCAGGCAGTTGCGCAGCGCCAGTTGGTTGAGTGAACCCAGGCCCTGGGCCGCCTGTGTGAATGTATGAGAAGCAGGCCCTGGGCTGGATACGGCTACCGGGCCAAACACAGGCCAAAGGCAGTTGGGCACATGCAACCACCACATGCCCAAGGCCTGCTCTCGACGTGTTGGGCCTAAGGTTACCAGGGCCTACTGGAAGCGTCCTGGGACTGGACGCAGGCAGGCCAATTCGATATAGGAAAGGGCCTGCCTCCTCATTCATCATTCGGGTGCTGGCTGCATGTTGCGCAAGCGCTGCTGCGCTATTTGCTGGCTGGTGCCTACGCTCTCACGGGCGAGTAAGGAAGGAGCACGCAGCCATAACCGAGCTACGCTGTTGTAAGTTGGGTGAGGCGCAGGGTGGTCCTTGGGTGCTAGTGGCATCTGTGAGTTGGGGAACGAGGTTGTGAGTGTAGTGCGAGACATACCTGGTGCTGGAAGCGTGCGACATAGGTCGCTATATGCTCGTACTTCGGGAATGCTGTTGATGTCATCATTCGGCCTCGTAGTATAGGCTAGATAGGATCTGCCACATGTAGTCTGGGCGCCGAGCGCCAGATAGGATATCAACTCTGGTTCTTCGTTGCTGATGATGATGGGACTATTTCAGCATTGTCAGTTATGAACTCTTGGTGTGTTCTTATTTGGTGAATCTCGTGATGCAATCCTGCTGTTGGTTCAAGGTCAAGACTAGCTGGACTCATATGTATGATGCTGTTTGATTGCTGAAGTTCGNATCCTGCTGTTGGTTCAAGGTCAAGACTAGCTGGACTCATATGTATGATGCTGTTTGATTGCTGAAGTTCGCTATTGCTCATCTTCCTTGCAATTCGGTATCGGAGCTGTGGTGCGATTGCACTCATTTGGCGCTTGTCTTCTGCCTTATGCGGTACATACATGCGGTCTGCTGGGCGAGTTTGGTCGTAAGTGGTGTGTAGTGAGGAGGGTGGAGACGAGTGTGTAGGCGACCCAAGAGGTGAGGGGATCACCAGGAAGGCTACATGAGGTGTTTGTGGTCTGGACAGTGTGATGAGAACTATCTAATGTGTGATTGATGCTGAGGTGGAACGGCGTTCAATGCTGGTTGTGCCGATGCAGTGACTGGTCATCGCAATCACCATCTGGTCATCTGGTGAGATTATCTCTGTGGTTGGGGGCAGCTATTTGAGGTACGTTGCTCTTAACCTTATCTTCCCGCTCCGACACTTCTTACCGTGAGGTTGTGTGTTCCTTCTTGCGAGTCCTCTCATCGTGAGGTGTCGAGTGCGCTCAACCTTGAGAGTCGGCAATGTTCACGTGGAGCATGTGGGTGGAGATGGGCGGAGCTTTCTGAAGGGCCCTGGACGAAGCATTGGGTCATGGTCACCATGCCAACCCACAGGGAGTACAGCACGCATGCCTAGTTGCTTGTCCTTTGTTCGGCTTGCTGCGCTGTTAGATGGGTACTACTGGGCAGGCCAGCCCTACAGGAAAGACGAGCACCCGGCGTCTATAAATAAACACGGGAAGGGGAATCATTGGCTGTGATCATCATCCGGCTGTGACGTAAAATAATTCCTGGAGCACCCAGCACTACTTGGGGGCGGACGTTGAATTGCCCCTGGATCAGCCAATGGTTGGAAGGCTCGCGGCACGCCGGGGATAAATATACGTGCAAGGCTGGCCAGCTCAGTGGATACTCGGGGCATCGGGGTGGGCCGGACACACACCTTTAGACACGCTACGCCTCCTGATTGCTCAGGGAAGCTGACGTCAAGAGATACTCAGGGGAACCAAGGGAGGGGTTGATTCCAGGTGATAAAACTCAGTGGGTTCCAAAGAGGGCCATCACCGCTCCAAAACCTTTTACAGGGGATAAGAGGGGCAAAGACCTCGACATATGGTTGAGGGCAGTGCCGGTCTATGTTAGGTGTAAACTCACCTTGCCGCACGAAGAAGTGCTTGTGGCTGCTTCCTACCTAGAGGGTAGTGCAACAAGATGGTTGAGCGGTTTAGTTCAACTCCAGGGATATAGTCATGACTTCCGCGCTTGGGCGGCCTCCCAGAAATTGGAAGACTTCCTGAAGATGGTGGAAGAAAGGTGGCATGATCCTCAGGAGGCCCAAAGGGCCACTGATGCGATCCTGACACTGCACACGCGGCAGTTTAAGTCAGTAAGGGAAGCCACCGACGCTGTTGAGCATCTGATCTGTGTCCCAGGGGTGAGCTATGACCCCCAGGTCCTATTGACTTCGTACCTGAGATGTTTTTCTCAGCCTCTCAGGAACCAGTTGGCAAAAGAGGCCAACATCAATATGCACAACTTTCCTTCGTTTAGCAAGGTGGCCCTAGACCTTGAGGCAAAGATAGGGCATGGAGAGACACCCACTACGGATGGGAGAAAGAAGACACTGCCTCCCAACTGGAAAGAAAGGTCGCTTGATGTTTGTCGACAACGATGGTTCAACCATCGAGGTGGACGGCAACTTCCAGGAGGGAGTAGGTTCAAAGGCAGGCAGCATAGATGCTTCAGAGGGTGTAGTAGTCGCTGTCGTATCTCAAAAAGGAAAGGCGACCAGTAGACGTCGCGGAGGCTCCCGGTCTAGGAGTCAAGTTGAGCCTAATGCTCCTCCATGGGAGAAAGCGGGTCTTACAGAGGACGTGTGGAGAGACCGTTACTCACGGCAGGCCTGTATTCGTTGTGGTCAATATGGCCACAACCAATTCAAGTGCCGCAACAAGAAGGTGACGGAAAAGATCCCGCCTACGATGGGGCAGGTATTGGGATCCTTTGAGCCCGTTGGTAGCAATGTTGCCATCACTTCAGGCAGTGCTCCGGGAAACACGTCGGGCCAGTAGGAATATTAGTTGTTCCTGCTAGGATCGAGGTGGTGGAGACACCCTCACCATCTCGAGAGATAGCCCAAGCTACTGACTCCAGCGTCGTCCCGCAAGCACATTCAAACCCATAGAGCCTCTGTTCGATGAATGTGTTTGAGTCCTTAGAGGAGCTAGAGGTGGAGTGGTCTAGATCAGACCCGCTAGCTTCTTGGACGGCATTAGTTAAAGCCCCAAGGGGTGAAATGTTCGTCAGCGAGGTAGTCATTGGCGGCTGCAAGGACGGGGCCTATTATGACACTTGCTCGACTCGGAACTTTATTAGTCGCGCGTGCGTTGAGAGACTGTGTTTACAGGGGCGAGTGCAGCACCTGAGTCGACCTGTGGAGTCGACCTGTGCCAACAAACAGCGCATGGTAGTTAACGACTACCTCCAGGATGTAGAGTGTTGTTTCCCGTACGCGGGAGGGGACTTGAGACATCGTGTCTCGTTCCTAGTGAGTGATGAGCTCCCAATGGACATGTTACTAGGTATGTACTACCTCTCTGTAGCTCAGCCCCAGTCTGACTGGGACCGAAAAGTGGTCAAACACACTTTGCCAGGTGGAGGGACCGCCAGATTACGTTAAGTTCAAAGCTAGTAGTTTGATGGAGTCCTATGGGTGCATGTGTGCAGCCGCGTTCTACAATTATCATAAGCAAAATCAGGAGGAGGGTATGTATTTAGTCTCTGTCTCTGCTGCAGGTGAGCCGGTGAAAATGCCGCCGGAGATAGAGGGAGTAGTTGCTAAGTACCCTGATCTATTTGAAGAGCCAACAGGGGTCGTTGAGATGGAGGTCGTCCACGCGATAGAGATTATCCCAGGATCTCGTATTCCGAAGGTTAGGATCTATCGGGAGTCTCCAGGCGAGCTTGATGAGCTTCGCCGCCAACTCAAGGAACTCGTAGAGAAGGGATGGATCCGGCCGAGTGTCTCTCCTTATGGATCTCCAATTCTATTCGTGCCTAAGAAGAAGGAGGGTACTCTTAGGATGTGCATTGACTATAAGGGCCTACCGCGCATCGACGATCTGCTAGATAGAGTGCAAGGGTGTCGGTACTTAAGCAAGATGGATCTGAAGTCCGGGTACCATTCTATTTGTGCCTAAGAAGAATGAGGGTACTCTTAGGATGTGCATTGACTATAGGGGCCTCAATGTCATCACTGTAAAGAACAGAGAGCCCCTATCACGCATCGATGATCTGTTAGATAGAGTGCAAGGGTGTCGGTACTTCAGTAAAATAGATCTGAAGTCCGGGTACCATCAGATTGCAATCCGGCCCGAGGATCAACACAAAACCGCATTTCAGACCAGGTACGGTCTGTATGAGTTTGTGGTGATGCCTTTCGGCCTATGCAATGCTCCTGGCACCTTTCAGCACGCTATGCATCGGATATTCCATGACTACATGGATAAGTTTGTCATCGTATACCTCGATGACATACTTATTTTTAGTAAGAATATCGAGGAGCATGTTGCACATTTGGACAAAGTCCTCAGTCTCCTGCGACAGCACAAGTTCAAGATCAACGGTGAGAAGTGCGAGTTTGGCCGCACCCGTGTCTTGTACTTGGGTCATGAGATTTCCGCGGAAGGGTTGAAGCCCGATGACGCGAAGGTGGCCAGCATTCGTGATTGGCCACGTCCTCAGTCTGTGAATGAGATGAGATCTTTCTTCGGAATGACAGGCTACTACAGGACTTTCGTTAAGAACTATAGCATAGTGGCCGCTCCTTTGTTTGATCTGACCCGCCTTGACACCCCGTGGGAGTGGACAGACGAGTGCGAGGCTGCTTTCAGACATCTGAAGCATGCGTTGACGCACGTGTGTCATGATGCCACCGACCATTTTGGGTATAAGAAGACCGCAGCCAACTTGCTGCAGCGGTTCTGGTGGCCCACGATGATGCGAGATGCTCAGCTGTACGTGGAGACTTGTCAAGTTTGCCAACGGGACAAGCCACGTACTCAGGCTCCTCTTGGGCTTTTGAAGCCCCTTCCGATTCCGGAATGGCCTGGTGAGAGTCTGTAGTGGATTTCATGGATACTCTGATCACCAGCAAGAGTGGGATGCGTCACATCTTCGTCATCATGGATAAATTTAGTAAGTATGCTAGGTTAGTAGCCATGCCAAAAACAACAAAGATGGAGTACGTGATCCGAATGTTCAAAGAAAATTGGGTTAGAGACTTTGCTTTACCGAAGTCTATTGTAAGTGACCGGGATGTTCGGTTTACTAGTGAGTTGTGGAAGGCCGCTGCTGCAGGGAACTCAGTTGCAAATGACTTCTGGGAATCACCAAGAGGCCAATGGACAAGGTGAGCAACTCAATCGCACTGTGCAGCACTTGTTGAGGCACTATATTAAGCCCAATCAAGTGGACTGGGATGAGAAACTTGCTCTCATCGCCAGCCTGTACAACAATGCTTTACACAGCGCCACTGGGGTGAGCCCGAACAGTTTACTACTGACTATCCAGCCTAGATTACCCCTTGACTTTCTCCTTCCTGAGAATCAATCAACTGCTGCACCGAGTACTTTAGAGTTTGCCTACAGATATGAACAGAAACTGCAGTAGGCAGTAGAACAGATGCAAAAGGCACAGGCGACTATGATCGAATCTGCGAACAAACACCGCCGTGAGTCTTCATTTCATGTTGGGGACAGAGTCTGGGTTAAGTCCTCAGAACTGGGACAGGAGCACGGGATCTCCCGCAAGCTCATGCCACAGTGAGTCTTCATTTCAGGTTG